CACACACACACACACACACACACACACACACACACACACACACACACACACAAACAGTACATGGAACACAGAAGATGAACTCCTGTTAATCAGCCACTAGCATGCCTTCTGTGAGACACCTTGCTCGGTAGAAACCTGGAGGTCATTTCTCCCAAGTCAGCTACATTGACCCCATGTCCAATTCCATCCTGAAGTTCATGATCTTACTCACCCTCCTGCCAGATGCCAGTAGGTTCCTCTTCTACCAGGACGGGAAATGCTTGCCCCAGCACCATGACAGACAGACCTGCTTCTCAGTCCTTGGTGCAGCAGCCCCAGTCTGCTCATCTGCAAGATGCAGTGACTCCTGCGTCCTTCTGTGTTTGGGGAGGGCCGGTGGATCCTGCCGTATGGCAGAGCAGACTTGCTCACGCTGCCCTACATTAGGCACAGAGCATGGAACCTTTGAGCTGCTCGTTCATGCTACCTCAAGGCCCACCCCCAGCCACACATCTTGCCACTAGGACCCATCTCTTAAAGGTCCCGCTACCTCCTACAGCTGCTCCCCCCACCAGGCACCAAGTGTCTGACATAGACTGTGGGGCCGCAATTCACATTTAAACCACGAGGGTTAAGAAACAAGATCAGTACAAAGTGCCCCACTCATTGTGTTAGCTGAAGAATCTGTCCGGTGGATATTCACACCCCTAATCACACTTCTTCCTGTGTGTCTAACATAGCCTAGAATTACACAGTCAGGGCCCAGCACAGTGTCTGGCTAACACGCAGCGGGTCTCCAGTTCTGACCGGCTTTTGTGTTGTCGGGTGAACACATTCTGGGTTCCTGTCAATCTCTCTAGCACAAAGAGGAGAGAGCACCTTCAGCAGTGAGGCAGAGGACAGGGGATGCAAGATGATGGGCAGCTGCCTATGAGGCAGTGGGTACAGCTTGCCCATGCTAAGAGAGCCCAGCTTCCTGGAGATCTGCAGCACATTGCAGCAAGTCCTAACTAATGAAGCTGTCAGGGGCTGGGGAGAGGGCTGAATCCGTAAAGTGCTTGTCTATCAAGCAGGAGGACCTTCGTTTGATACCCACAAACCGCATTAAAGAAAAGCCCACCCCCACCGCAGAACTAGCTGGATGGGTGATGCATGCTTGTGATCCCTGCGCTTCAAAGGCAAACAGGCAGAAATGGGGCTGTGCCAACTGGCCAGTACCAGACCAGTGAGAAACACTCTCTCAAAAAAAAGTGGACAGTGAATAAGGAGTGACAGCCCTCTGAGACCCACGTGCACGTACACACCTCTGTACATGCACCTTTATACACATAAACCTACATACATTTGACTGCCCCCTAATATATAAAAGCTGTTGGTGGGGAGCTCCCTAGTGTAGAGAGCCTACTGCCAAAGACTGACCTCTGAATGACGCCCCCACCTGCCCCGCTCCCAGCTGAGACCCAGAGCAGAGCCTACGCATTATCCAGGAGGCCTCTGGGAGCTGGCTAGGGTACATGGGGCCAGTCTGTGGAGCAGCTGCCATGCAAAGAAGAGAACAGTGGACTTGGAAGCCAGCTCTAAGTGCCTTAAAGCTATTCGGCCTCAGCCGTCTCATCTGTGAAGTGAGACCATGTGTGTTGATTCAAAGAGGCCAACAGTGGAGGACAGAGGCCCTGCAAGGCTATTTGGGAAAATGAAATTCACCTTAGGTTGTTTTTCTGTACAAAGTGTAATGACAGCATCAAAGAGAGTTACGAAAATGGAATATATCTGATGGACACTATGCACATATAAAGCATCTGTGTATATAATGGCTCAGCCTGCTGCATGGCAACAAAGCATTTGTCCTCTTGCTTGTGAGGTTGTGTGTTTGTTTCTTCTAGACACTGGGAAGTGGCTAGTGTAAAAGCGAAACCACAAACAAGACCTGGACAGAGATTCAAAAATCATCGCAAGCCAGCTGGGACAGTGCCAACAGAGGATTCAGGCCCGTGTTGGCGGTCTTCAGTGTCACAGCAGCAAGTCCCTCTTCCCTCCTTTGTCCTTTGCTGACTAACTGGTAGTTATGGGGAGGAGTGGTGCCGGCACCATGCCAGGTACTCTCTAAGATCGATGCACGCCGTTTTGTGATGGTTGCTGTGCATATTACCTTTCTTCACAGGCCAGGCACCGAGTCCCTTGGAGGTGAAGTGACTTGCCCTGGGTTACACAGTTGCTGCAAAGTGAAGCGGGGAGAAACAGCTTGTCTGATTCCCAGGTTCTTGCTTTTGCCTGATGCATCAGGCAGCATCTCATGGTCCTTGACCTTGTACCCTTTGCCCATCTCCAAATCCACTGGCTATAAGCCCACACTTATCCAAGTATTTCAGTCCTGAGAGACATCTGCCCCAACCTGGCTTGGCTCAACTCACCTCAACTCAGCTGATTCTAGTTTGACTCAGCTTAGGTTGGTTCAGGCTAACTTAAGAAGAACATGTAGGCATCTGCATATCTCTCTCTGTGTGTCTCTCTCACTCACTGTGTGTATGTGTGTGTGTATGTGTGTGTGCGTGTATGCAAGTGTGCACATGAGCAACATAGGCTGTCATACCTGGGCATTGTCCATCTTATTGTTGTTTTGAGGCAGGGTCTCCCACTGACCTGGAACCTGCCTACTAAGCTGGCCAGTGAGCCCCGTGGATCTGCCCATCTCTCTACTCTTCAGGGCTGGTTTCAGAAGCACATGACACCATGTTTGGATTTTATGTGAGATCCAGGGTTCTGGTCTCTATATATGTAAGGGTCTCTGTATATGCGTTTTACTGACTAAGGCTTCTCTTCAGATCTGTGATGGGTAACACTGATTATCAACTTGATTGCATTAAGAGGGCTCAGGTGACTAATAACACATTTCTGGGTGGTCTGTGAGGGTTCTCTGAATATGGGCAGCACTGCTCTACAGTTTGGGTGGGGCCTAGATGGCATAAAGGTGGATGAAGGAGAAAGTCCTCTGATACCACAGGCACTCCCTTTCTGTACCCTGGCCTCCTTAAGGTGAGCAGTTTGCTCAGCCACACCTTTCCACTGGGACATTCTGTCTTGGGTCAGGCCCATAGCAAGGGATCTAGATGGCACCAGACTGAGCCCTCTGAAATGGTGGCGTCCAAACAAGCCATTCTTCACCTACATCATCTTCTCAAGTGCTTCATCCCAGTGATGAAAACCCAGTCACCACGTATTACCAGAGGAGGGTGACACCAGGAAATGATTTCAAACCGGGGTGGATTACACTGCCACTCTGTTCTCAGCAGTTTGATGAGATTGTCACTCCTCATCCGTGTAGAACAATGCCAAGACCTGGGGGGACAGCCCTGTACGGATCACAAAGCCCCTTTTAACACTGGTGGCTTATGTGTAACATGTCTTCTAAGCTGAGCCAGCCTAGAAATAAAGACAAAGAGGAGATTACAGAGAGGACAGTTGACAAGACTGCTCTTAAAGGGCAGCTTACTCTGCAGCAGGTGCAGGGCACAGAGCTTAAAACATCACCTCAGTTAACCTGGAAGGGGATTATCCTCGGGTGTTTCACAGATGAGGCTCTGGAGAGTGTGCACAAGCTGAGGAGTTTTTCTAAGTCCCAAAGCTGGAGAGCAGAGTGCTCTGGCCCAAGGGCCCTGTCTTTCCATAACTCCCACCTGCTCCAAAGGTGCCCCACTATGGCAGGACTGGGAGACACTGGTGCTGAAACTCTCTCCTGGCCAACAGCACATAAAACAAAGGACTGAATAGCAGGATTCTAATTTCTGCTGGAATCTGAGTCATATCTCTGGCTCTGGAAGGAGACTTGATCTCCCAAGCTGCTTGGAAGGTCATTAATAAGTAACTGTCTAAGCTTGATCCTCGTAACCCTAAGCTTTCAAGACTGTTATGTAGCAGAAGGCTTGCCTGCCTGCCTGCTTTCCCTCCCTCCTTCCCTCCCTTCTGTTCCTCCCTCCCTCTGTCCCTCCCTCCCTCCCTTCCCTTTTTTTGAGACAAGGTCTAATGTAGCCCAGGCTGGCCTTAAACCAACCTGCCTCTATCTCCAGAGTACTGGGATTACAGACGAGTGCCATCAGATCAAGTAGCAGGGTATTTTCTGATAACAAAGACATATTGTGATCCCCTCTTGTAAGAGACAATTGAAAAGACCTGTCAATCACCTGGAACAGGTAAAAGCTCTGTTCCAGAGATTTCAGAAAATAATATACAGCCTGCTAAGAGTGTAGATGAGACGGCGATCTTGTTGGCTATTGTCTGCCCTTTCGTGTGGAGAATGTACTTTGCTCCGTAGCAAACTGTCTTCTTTGCTGTGTGCCTCATCTGGATCCTCTCAGCAGCCATCACAGGGCCTGGGAAATAAGGGGAAACCAGCTCAGGATCCTGGTGACACTGCCATTTGGGAAAACATCTTTTTGTCACATCAAGGAGTCAGGGCTCAGAGGAACAAAAAGGGCCAGACTTACGCCTTATTACCTTATCACAGAGAGCTAAAGGCGCTCTCTGCTTTGAGCCTGCTCCGGGCAGATCTGCTCTTTGGACCTGCTATGGTTGGTTCAGTTCTTTGCCTCCACCTGTGAATCCCACAGAGCTGAAATGGTGGCCACAGCCTTCCGTTCTTGTTGGGGGTGTCTTAGCATTTGCATTTTGAGGACATCACAGACCACCCACTCATGTCAGATGACAGAGGGTGACCCCGAGAAACATCCCCAGAGCCAGGCAGATGAGACCCCAGTTGGGCCCTCTGCAGAGCACTTGCTGCGGCTAATTAAGCTAAAACCTGTAGAAGGAAGGAGGATTGAGACTTGGTTTTTTTTTAAATGAACATCAATCATAGTATTGATCTTTCTATGTCTTTTTATTCTCTTTGTGGTTGGGATCCTCTGACAATGCTTGCTGCAGGCTTCTCCCACAAGAAAAATCATGTAAATTAAGACACTGACTTTGTGGCACAAAGGGTGGAACCCACGGAATGAGCTGGAGATGGGGAGCTTAACTTAGAAGAGAGGTAGCGTCTGTGGGGGACAGATGTTGGAGGAGCCCCCACATTTGAGTCTTCATCTCCATTTGCTTTGAGATGCGCCCTCGGGAGTCTGCACGTCAGCAGAAAATCTGCTTCACTGCCTAGCGCCAATTGCTAGCTCACTGCTGTGTGACCTGGGGGCAGCTCCAGAGCTCATGAAGGCCCTAGTCCCCTCGCTTGTTAAATTAGGATAATAATATCCAACATGCTGAGGCTTCAGGACTAAGTTTGTCTTTAAAGGATCCGTGTTGCCCAATAGTTGGGAATTCCTTATTCATGGTGCTATCGTCATTTGGGACAAGGAGTATCTTAGGGCTAGTTAAGATGCTACAAGAGAATCTCCCAGCCTGTGATCAGAGCATGTGACATCTTCAGCAATAGGTCTTACCCTCTAGTCCTTGTGGGCAGCCAATGACAGTGGTGACTGTCTGTATTGTTTTGGGGGCCATAAAACTCAATGGGTCATAAAAAGAGACTAGAAAATAGAGGTGGAGATCATAATGAGCGCATGCTAAAAACATTATAAAAAAGAATACTGTGGACTGACTGGTTTACAAACATCATGAGTGTATTTTTTACTGTCCTGGTGGCCAGAAATTCAAGATCAAGGCAGATTTAGTGCCTGGTGAGGGCCTGTTTGCTGGCTCATAAATGGTACCATCTTAACATGTTTTTACATGGTGAAAGGGTAAGGCTTCCAACCCCATAACCCTACTCATGAGGGCTCCACTTTCAAGACTAATCATCTCCCAATGTCCCACCTCCAAATAGTCTCATAGTGGCAACTAGCTTTTGACTTATGAACTTTGGGGACAAAGGCATAGTCATTAATCCACTGCAGGGTGTTTCTTCATCTACAGAACAAATTGGGAGTCATAAAACGGGCTCTTCTGTTGGAGAGGAGTGTTAGTTAATTATCTCTATCTTCCAAGCCAGGTTTTGGATCACCAACACTCTGGTGGGATTTCAGGCTGCAGGGAGCCAGAACAGGGTCATTTCATGCACAGTGCAGAGGCTGAAGTCCTGTCTTGGTGCACCAAGGGCCACCTTACAGCAGGGACATAGAGCTTTGCTTCACGCCATTCCTGAAGGTTAGGACTTCTATATTTGACTCATGAATGGTTTGCTCCTCTCTGTGACGGACCTGGTAACTTTCTCCTTGTTTCGTGTTGACTGCTCACGTATTTTGATTATGTAGATGTTAGAGAGGAAGTGTGTGGCTAGAATTGACTTGGGAATTGAGTGTGCACCCCAACTTTTGAGCCTCATCTGTGTATTTTTCATTATAGAACAGTTCAGAGTTTATTCTCTTGGTCATGAGATGGCTTAGAATTGTCTCATCTTCCCCATAGCATTGTTATTAGGAATAAATGAAGTGTGTGTCACACAAGTGCTTAGCTTAGGGCCTATATGCAGCTAGCTGTTATTACTCCTTAAAAAAAGAAATCTAATTCCCAATTTCACTATCTAATATGATCATCTGTAATGGGACATGAAGAGGTTGCTTGCAGGGGGTTAATTCAGAGTAATGCACACATTCTACATTTACCACAGAGGACAATGACAGATGGGAACCTACTCTTCCTTGCTCAGTCAAGGAGATTCACGTGGGTCCCGTGCTTTCAGACCAGACAGCGGGAACCAGTGGACAGCCAGGCAGGAATTGACGGCAGCCTCTTCAGCGTGGTGTTTGCATCCCTCCTTGACCTGACTCTGATCTGTTCCAAGGCTCCCATCCACAGGCACTCAGGGTGACTGAGGTGTGCAGTTTCACACTTTGCCCATGATGCTGCCTGCTGGGGAGCTTTCATATTTGCATTCATCATCTCCCATCGGCTTCATCCTTACCTTCTCTGCATCTGCCCTCGGCCTCCTGACACTTGCAGGACATCAGTTACTCCAGCCATCCCTCCTCTCTCAGGAGGCAAGCGCCAGATGATTATCCTCACATCTTCAGCTTATTGTAGAGGGAAAACCAGGACCTTCGATTCTGCTGGTCACAGGAAAGGATGAGGTTGTAGCGAGAAAGAGGGGCACTTCTAATTGGAATCCTCTCTTTAAAAAGACCTTTTAGAAGTCCTTCCCCCTTTCCTGTGCTGTGTCTGTTCACATCTCAGTGGTTAGAATTTAGTCACATGGCCAAATCTAGCCCTGTTTGGGAAATATTGTCTTTTTTTTTTTTTAATTAAGAAAAAAAATTTCATTCATTTTACACACCAATCAGAGATCCCCCTTTTCCCTCCTCCCACCCCCAGCCTCCCCCTCCCAACCTTCCCCCTACTGCCCCCCACAAGAAGGCAAGGGCCTCCCATGGGGAGGCATATTCAGTAGAGACAAGCCCAAGCCCTTGCCCCTGCCTCAAGGCTGCATGAGGTGTCCCATCATAGGTAGTGGGTTCCAAAAAGCCCACTCATGCACCAGGGATGGATTCTGATTCTACCGCTAGGCACCCTCCCCCACAAACAGATCAAGCTACACAATTGTCTCACCATGCAGAGGGCCTAGTCCAGTCCCATGTAGGCTCCACAGCCATTGATCCAACTTTCATGAGTTCCGGTCGTCTCTGCAGGTTTCCCCATCACAATCCTGATGCACTTGCTCATAGAATTCCGCTTCTCCCTCTTTGACTGGATTCCTGGAGCTCTGCCTGGTGTTTGGTTGTGGATCTCTGCATCTGCTTCCATCAGTCTTTGGAGAAAAGCTCTGTGATGACAGTTAGGGTATTCACCGGTCTGATCACTGGGGTAAGCCAGTTCAGTTCAGATACCCTCTCCCTACTAGTAGTTCAAGCTGGGGTCATCCTTGGGGATTCCTGGCAACTTCCCTAGCACCCAGATTCTCTCTATCCCCTTGGGGAATATAGTCTTCAAGCTGAGTGCCAAATGTTAACAGGCAAGGAGCATCAAATGGGCACCAATGTCTTTGCCACTGTCCCTGTGGGCTCAGTCATCTCCAGTGGTCAGACTAGTGGTGAGAGTTATAGATATAGCTGAGCATGGATACTCAGATTTCTATTTCTAGTTATCTTTGGAGACTGGTCATGAGTGTTGCCTAGGGAAGCCCCCTGGAGTGGACACCTTGACCCGGATTCTCATCTTCATTCTGGCCTGCATGACCTTGAGGACCTGCAGCAGGAGGAGATCAACCAGTGATTTCCCAGGTTCTTCTGACCCATAATTCTTAGGAAACACCCCACCCTAACCCAGTCCCAAGCTTGGGACCAACCTCTGCTTGTTTCTGTTGTGACGAAGTTTCTTACTACTGTCTCTGGCTCCACTTATAAATGTTTAAAAATATTCGCTCGACACACAGGGGGATTATAGACTCTCATTTCCAAAATGAAAAGCAGTTCATGTATTATTCAAGACAAACATTGTATTATTGAACAAAGGATGGGTGTATTCATCCCTCATTATGCATTCTGGTCTATATGGCCTTATTAGTCCATGCACTCTGTGAGGATTTTACTGATGAGGTTTGTAAACCAAGGCAGAGATCAAACACTAATGTGCTCAGATGCCAAGATTATGAGATTATCATAAAATCACAAAATTCATGCCTAGTATACCCAGTGCTTGACTTCCTTCTACCTGTTCCCACTACATGGATGTTTAACCTTGGCATGGACACTTCCAGTCCTGGACTCTTCCAGGAAACCCACTACTATTTATTCTACCGTTGTAGAGTTTGAGAAAGTTCATCACTTACCCGCTGATGTCCTGGGTCCTCTACCTCACTGGACTTTAGTTTTAACATGGACAATTCCGCTCCTTTCTCTGCTGTAGTCCTTTAGATGTGTGAGTGACAGTTGTGGAGACCCACCCAGGGTAAGGGTAACTAAGTCCCTTCTTAGAGCTAGTGCCACAGCAAATAGGAAGGGTCATCCGGACCTCACAGCACTTAGTGACAATCCTGCCCTGTGTCATCCTGATGGTAGTGCAGTGTGGAGCTTAGGATGTCCACAAAGCTCGTGTTCACACCCGTCTCTGCCCCCATTCCCACTGCTCTCCTTCCCACTGTCCTACTTCAACCTTCTTGGGTTTTCTCTCTGGCCAGCACTCTGTTCAGGGTCTTGGCTCTTGCTCTTCCCACTGCCTAGGCTGCTTTCCCCAAATCTTCTCAGTCTACACCTCTCCACTCATATGACACTCATCTAGAAAAGTCTTCATCTCCCTTTTCCTATACCCCCTCCTCTTTCTCTTTCTCCTGCCATTACTTTTGGGCTATGGTCTGTCTCTGTAGTCTAGGTTGGTACTCATGCTTCACACTCTGATGCTTAGTTCTCAGAGAAGCCTTCTTGTATTTTTGTGTAAACTATGACTTCTACCCCATAGCTGTCTGCTTTAGTCCCTTTAAGAAGATACCATTATGAAGAAGTTTACAAACAACAGAAATGGTTTTCTACTGTTCTGCAGGCTGGGAAGTCCAAGATCTAGGTGTTGGTATCTGGTGAGAGGCTGCTTCCTGATTTGTGGCTGGATCTGTGTCCTGTGGGGAGAGGGGTTGGAGTTCTTCCAGGTCTCCTTTATGACATAATGGTTAATCTTCATTGTCAGCCTGACAGGTTTGGATCTTGTTGTTGACTGGGTTGGGAATCATCTAGGAGACACACCTCTAGGAGTGTCTTTGAGGATGTTTCCAGACTGCTGTGGATGATTGATTAATAAAAAAAAACACTGATTGGCCAGTAGCCAGGCAGGAAGTATAGGTGGGACTAGCAGAGATGAGAATTGAGAGAATAGGAAGGTGGAGAGGAGGAGACGCCAGCCTTCCGTCCAGGGAACATCATGTAAAGGCAACAGGTAAAGCCACGGAACATGTGGCGACATAGATTAACAAAAATGGGCTGAGTATAAGAGTAAGAGCTAGACAATGGTAGGCCTGAGCTAATGGCCGAGCAGTTTAAATAATATAAGCGTCTGTATGTTTATTATATAAATGGGCTACGGGACTGCCGGGGCTTGGCGGAACCCAGAGAGAAAAAACTCTGGCTACACCAGACAGCTTAACCGAGGAAGGAAGACCTGTTCTGAACGTAAGTGGAGTCATTACCTGGGCTGTAGTCCTTGACTGAATGAGAAAGGAAGAAAGGAAGAAGCCAGTGGAGCTCTCACATTCCCTTCTAATTGCTTCCTGTTCCATCAGGATGTGAGGAGGTGCAGCTGAGTGCTGCTTCTGCACCGTGCCTTCCTTACCATGATGGATTGTACCTTCAAACTGTGTTCAGTTGCTTCTTGTGAGATATTTGGTCACAGCAACAAGATAAGTATACACAGAGTCCCATTTGTGAGGACTCTACCCTTATGATACCTCTTCAGAGGTGCCATCTCATCATCATGCTGGGGACCACGCTTTCAGCATCTGAATGTGGGAACACACATCTAGGTCACAATATTCTCTACACCATTGGTCTGCTTTATGTTTCTGGTGGATTGTCTATAAAAGCAGTCAAATCATTGCATATTTACTGAATGGCTATTGTTAATCAGTTGTTTTTCTAGACACTTGGGTTGCATTAGTGAACAAAACAATGGCCAGTAGGCTGGGGAGATGACTCAGTTGGTGAAGTGCTTGCCTTGCAAGCACACAGATAAGAGTTCAATTCTTAGAACTTGCATTTAAAAAGAAGCTAAATGTGGTACTGTGCACTTGTCACTGCAGAGTGGGGGACTCACTGGACAGCTAGCCTAGCCTGCTTGAGGAGTTCCAGGCCAGTGAGAGAAAATGAGGTGGACTGCACCTGAGGAACAACAGTCAAGGTCATTGCCTTGATGAAGCCTGCATTCACACAGGAATGGAGACTATGCAACACAGAGAGAAATATCATCAGAGGTTAGAAGGTCATGAGTTACAGAGGAGATACGGTCAGATCAGGGTATGTGAGGGACCGGCAAGGTTATGCATTAACAGGGCAGTAGCCACACCTCCCTAATGAGATGAGCTATGAGTTGGGACAGTTCCTTTCTTCCTTCCTTCCTTCCTTCCTTCCTTCCTTCCTTCCTTCCTTCCTTCCTTCCTTCCTTTCTTCCTTCCTTCCTTCCTCTCTCCCCCCCCCCTTTTCTGGTTTTTCGAGACAGGGTTTCTCTGTGTAGTTTTGGTGCCTGTCCTGGATCTTGCTCTGTAGACCAGGCTGGCCTTGAACTCACAGAGATCCTCCTGGCTCTGCCTCCTGAGCGCTGGGATTAAAGGCGTGGGCCACCACCGCCCAGCAGGACATAGTTTTTTTTTTATTGAAATAGTTTTTTTATTGGCATGCATATTGATTGTTCTCTTCATTCTCCTAGAGTATAAATGTGGGGCAGGGATCATGTCTGATGGTTGTTCACCTGCCCCCCACCCACTGTAAGCACTCACATGATTGCCAGATGCCCCTGGTACAAGAAGAGAAGTCTACATCTGCTACAAAGTCCATGCCATTGGTGCCTGACGCTTCGCTCTTCCTGTAATACTCTTCTGGGCTAGTATCCCTCTTTTCTCTCCCACAAATGGCCCAAAGAGAGAATTCACACTCATCTCCAGCTGACGTGTTCCATGATTGTAGCTAGGCTGAGTGATCACCCCCATTCTCCAGATGAAGAACCTAGAGGCTCAGAGAGGATCGAAGTCATACAGCATTAGTAACTTGGACTAGAGGCCCTGCCACCATTGGAGAACCAGCAGGTGGGTACCATACCTTACTGGATTCCCTTCACTGTGCTCAGCATGGAGCTTCCCTGAGCTGCACAAAGTATGGGGCCTGCCTGAGACTCTCATGGGAGCCCGCTGCATTTATCTCTGCCCAGTCCAGATACTGAGGAATGGAATTGCGTCGGCATGCCTCTTCACAGCTCTCTCTGAGCCAGCCCCGTGTAGGAAAACCCTTCCGGCCTGGCAGTTGCTCTTCAGCAGCACTAGGTGAGTATGCAGGAAGCTCGGAATAATTGGCTTTGGCTTCTCAAAATCAACAGTTATCAAAATGAATCCTTGACTCTGTCTCTTTCATTACTTGGAGTTAACTTGTGTTGTTGGGGCTCAGAAGAAAGATGAACCCTTAAACTCCCAGATGTCTTCAGGGCCACCAGTAATCTCTTCCCTTTCTACACAAGTTCTGGATTTACAAAGAACCTCCACATATAATTTCATTTTATAAACCATGGGCTAGTGCATACAGGGTGCTTCTAAACACTGGATGTTTAAGGATGCATCAACTTCCAAGTGATAGAAAAACTCAACTGGTCTTCCACGCAGTCTCAGGCACGGGCTCCCTCTCATGGCATGGGCCTCAAATTAGACCAGTCTTAGGTTGACCACTCCCACAAATTCTGCCCACCACTGCCCCAGCACATTTTGCAGGCAGGACAGATTATAGGTTAAAGGCTTTCCTCCTACTGGGTTGCTTTGCCAGCCTTGCTTTGAGGGTTTGTGCCTTGTCCAACTGTGTCTTGCTGTGAGGGTTTGTGCCTGGTCCTACTGTGTCTTGGTGTGCCATGTTTGGTTGATGTCCCTGGGAGGCCTGCTCTTTTCTGGGGGAAGATGGAGTGGGGTCTAGGGTCTAGGCAGGGAGAGGGGG